TGTTTGGCTCTTAGCAGAAGTGCAAGCCAGTTCTTATAAAGATTTCCCGGTTCCCAGGAACCAGCAATGGCACCTTGTCGGTGGAAAACAGGGTGTAATGCTGGACTCTGCAGATGGCCAGCTGGCTGGGATGCTGCATAGCGATGTGGAATAAGGGTAGATGTAGCGCCATCTCTCCTCCAAATGGGATTGCTGCCAGTAATGTTCTCAAGGACTCTCAGCTCGCACTCCCAGGGGATATAGCACAGCACAGCGCATGGCACAGCTGGCATTCAAGCACACAGCTCATGTCTGACATACAAAACAGTGTGCACTGTATAGGTAGATGCTATGAAGATGCTATATGGAACCTCCTGTTCTGTAGAACTCCTAAGACCTATTCTTATCCAAGAGAAAGGGAGATGGAGTGAGTGAGAGAGAGAGGGGTTAAGAGGAAAGAGGGGGAGTGTGAGAGGAGGGGAAATTGACTCCAATTGCATAAGGTGATAAATCTACTGTTAATCTCTCAGGCCACATTTGGCGAAAGTATGCGGATCCTCCACCTGGCCCCAATACACGCACACGCACACACGCACACACGCACACACGCACACACACACACACACACACACACTCATATATCGTCACTGTTATATCCAAACCTCATATCGCTGAAGTAGTAACTTTATAGCGTATGGAAAATGCTCTTAACTTTAATGTATGTAATAAAGATCTTGGAGCATTTCTGTTGTTCCATTCAGCATGAAATGGTCACACAGTATAAAGTGCAGCTATCATTTTTAAATCGTGTTACAAAATATAAAAATAAGTAAATGCAAATAAAAATCAAATCAAATGCTGTTACAAGTATTTTATATAAGAGTGGCTATATATGAGTGCAGTATTAACATTAGCAACAGATAAGGAAGTCAAAATGGGACAAATAACAGATACTAAAACTTACTTAGAAACTAAAAATTTAACGTTGTGCCCCTTGTATTGCCAGAAATATAATGTTAGGAGCCGCGTATTAGAGTAGTAATGTGCTCTCTTTAGCTGAGCTTGATCTCTCACATGTAGATTGCGTGTCTTAACCTTTATGCTACACAGCCAGTTCCAAAGCACATGCACATTTATGGCTGAAAATGTACTCTGAAATAATACTTTAAATGTAGCTTGCAAAAGTTATTTCTCATGTGCGTCTAAATGATTACAGAAGAAATTTCTGAGGAGGCTAGATATGAGATAATCCACTCTTACATAAGGAAGAGGAAATTCAAAGGAAAATATGTAAAAGAATTTCCATAACTGAAGTTCTAAAAGATATAGAGGAAATAGGACCCATGCAACACCTGGTAGACCACCAAAACTGTCCCCATCAGATAAATGGTACTTAAAATGGTGCTTTCATCTTCAGGAGAGAGGAGAGAATCAAGCTCCACTCTTGCTTTAGACCTGAAAAAAATTCATGTGTTTCTGTCCATCCTCCCACTGTGAGAAGGCAACTCACCACTATAGGTCTAAAAGAATGTGTTGCTGACAAGAAGCTGTTACTGAGAAAAGGAAATAGGGAGAAGAGAATATGCACTAGAACATTAAAAGTGGACATCTGTGATGTAGATTAAGGTTACATGGACTGATGAGTGTAAATTTGTAACTGAAGTTACTATCTAGAGAAGCAGAAATTGCAACCAACTTCTAAGACTGAACTTCTCTGCAGGTTTCTTTGAAAAACTGAAAGCAAGTTTTTTGGAAAAAAAAAAAGGAAGCTGTAATAAAGGCAGAGTGTGGACACATTAGATAAAAAAATGATAAGAAGATAAAAAACATGGAGTTGTTAAGGATTCTGTGTAATTTTAATATGATATATATGTAATTTGCCCCTTCCCAGTTTTTTATATTATGCAAATTTCTCACATTTGAATGTTTCAGATCATCAGACTACTTTTAATATCAGATGAAGATAACCAAAGTGAACATAAAATGCTGTTTTTAAATAAGAATTTGATTTATTGAAGGAAAAATGCTGCTCAGAAACATAAAAACTAAATTTTGAATCATGAAATAAATATTTTTTCTTAAATCTATATGTGCCACAATTGCTGGCACCCCTAAAAATTCTTAAAAGTGAAATTTGACTAAATCATATACCCATTAATATTTTATGTTTTAAAGTCCACCTGAGTTATTAGGAACACTTGAATGGTTAGCCATGACTTCGTGTCTCACTGGGGACTATATGGGACTATGAGATGATTGATGTGTGACAAAGGGTTCTTGAGCTGCACACATCAGGAAAAAGCTACAAGAATATAGCTAAACAGTTTAAAACGCCCATTTCCACTATGAGTGCAATAATTGAAAAGTTAGAACAACTAAGGATGATAAGAATCTGCCGGGAAGAGGACGTATGTATATGCTGACCTCATGCACAGTGAGGAGGATGGTTCAAGTGGACAAAGAATCTCTAAGGATCACAGATAGGCAATTGAAGAAATTAGTTCATGGGGTCAGAACATCTCCCAACCCCCAATTAAACACCACCTATATAATCACAAGTTGTTTGGTGGGGCTGTCAGAAAAAAAAGTCTCTTCTGTCAAGAACCAACTCAAGCATCTATAGTTTGCCAGACGTTTACTGGAACTTTGAGTAAGACCTTGTTCTATGGTCAGATGAGACCAAAATAGGGGTTTGTGGCAACAAACACCAGAGGTGGGTTTGGTGTGGACACAAAGATAGCAGAAAAGTACCTCATCCCCACTGTGAAGTGTGGTGGTGGATGTATGATGTTTTTCTTCCAAAGTTCCTGGATAATTTATTCAGATACATGGTATCACAGACTCCATCAGGTACCAGTAGAAATAAAATCAAAACCTGACTGTCTCAGCCAGGAAGCTTAAACTGGGCTATAGTTTGGATCTTCCAGCAGGAAAGTGATCCAAAGCACACCTCAAAATCAACACAAAAATGGTTCAACCTAAACCCCATAGAAAACCTTTGGGATGAGCTGAAGAGGAGAGTCCACACCGTGGACCTCGGAATCTGAAGGATCTGAAGAGGTCTCAGATCCTTTGCCATGTGTTCTCCAGTCTCATCAAGCATTACAGGAGAAGACATAGAGCTATTATTTTTGCAAAAGGAGGCTACACAAGTTATATTAAATGAAGGGTGCCAACAATTGTGGATGCAGATTTGAGAAAAGTATTTATTTCCTGCTAAGATTTAGTTTGTTTCAGTCATTTTACTATAGATAGACACACATAATCATAATTTATCTCTTCTTGTATTGTCATCAAAGTATCGTACAGCTTTATCAGACATTTTATGTCTATATCATGCAGGCTTCATGCACCATATATATGTAATTCTCCTCAGTACGCTGATGTACTGGGTCAGTAGCTCAGGGACCACACAAGAATATAAGAATTCTAATACTGCCAAATCTTTAATCAAATACATGTGAAAAAGCACGTACATGCAGTACTCATACAGCACAATACATGCACACACTCATGCTTTCAGGTACATAGCAAAACTGTCATATCTCATGTAGAGATACAGCCGAGAATTCCTCTCGCCTCTCTATGAATAGCAGGTGTCAGAGTGTGTATATATGTGTGTGTGAGCAGGATTTCATTAGCTGCCACTTTTCTGGCCTTAAACACGTCTGCTCACACCGATCCCATCGCGCCGTAGATAGAGCCATCACATTCTGCCACCTCGGGAGGCATTTGCACCGACCAATCAGATGCAAGCTGAGCAGAGGTTTGTGCAGATAGAGAGGGAAGTTAGAGCCGCAGGAGTGTGTGGAGCTTATCATACACACTGCTCGCTCCAGCCACACACACACTGACAACACCGTCCTGATAACAGCCATGCAGGCTGACTCTAACTGAGGTGTGACTGGAGCTTAAGTCTACTGTATCTGACCGTCTGACCATGTCCTTGCTGCTGACCACCAACAGACTGGAGCCATCAGTGTCTCCTAAGGATGGGCAATGTGGCTGAACTGTACTTTTGCATCACTTAAAGACATTTTCCTGAATTTTTGAGGCTTGTAAAGTTAAAACTGACACAGTGTACTAAAAAAATGCTATGAAAAAAAGAGCTAAGAGTGGTCTTTAACAATACCCACAACTAGGGGTGCACCGCTCCACCTTTTTCTTTCCTGATAACAATTTCAGTACCTGAATTCAGGGTAGTGGCCAATAGTGAGTACCGATCCTATAAAATGTTTTCTTCTTCAATTTAAAATCTATGAGTCACACTGGACAAATATTTAATATTCAACCATTCATCATTCATTTATTTTAGGACTACAAAGGCTAATTGTAGACATCTTAACAATCGCCTTATCTCAAAATTACTTAGAAATGAAATTGATAACAATGATCACAATTGCAAAGAAGCATGCCTTTCATCTTCTTAAATGAACAAGTTTGAATACATGATTATTCATAATTAGAGCATTCAGTTTCATTAATGAAAACAAAGTGAGAATTTGATGTGTTGGAATGACATTCTTCCCTTTTAAAGCAAGTGTATCTAAGAAAAAGTAGCGATAGTAGATCGGTACATCTAGCTGACACTGGATTTGTTTAATAAGATCTGCACTGGTGCCAATACCAATCCAGTATAACAGACCCCATCCCTACCAGGAATACGCCCAGAAAAGCTTTCTGTGGCATAATTTATTGTAATAATGATACCATATTGCCAGTCCGTGTACAAATTGACTGTTTTGAATTCATGCAGAGGAGTATGGACATTTTTAATTTGGGAAGATAACCCCACTGTGAGAAGGCTATACTTTTTTGCCTCTTTCTTCTTTCTTCTGTCTCTCTGTTCCCTGCTGTTGATGAAAGTCTAGAAAAGTTGTTGCTGCTCATTAATTCTCTCTCTCTCTCTCTTTCTCTCTCTCTCTCTCTCTCTCTCTCTCTCTCTCTCGCTCTCTCTCTCTCTGTGTGTGTGTGTGTGTGTGTGTGTGTGTGTGTGTGTGTGTGTGTGTGTGTGTGTGTAGGCGATTGGCAGGTAATGACCTTGCTTTCATCCACCCTGAGGCTCTGTCTGGACTCCACCAGCTCAAAGTCCTGTAAGTACTCTACACACAGAGACAGACAAATATACACACACCATAAATTACGCCACAGTACACGCGTATTATATTTTTGCTATGTTGCAGCAGTGGCAAAACATGATATGTACTGTTATCCAAGCATAGCAAAATGATACAGCATACAACAGCACTTAATATTTTGCGTATCTTCAGCATGACCCCTAAACGTGCTGGAGTATTTTATTTGCTTGTGGCAGACGCAATATTATATTAATTTACATTATTAATGTCACACTTTCAGATTTGAATCAGACATGCACACCTACACATTTTCACTTTTACGGTGTGAAAGTAGAAATGCACTCATTGTGCTAAATATCCAGTTGCCTCTTACTTTCAGTCTAGCACATTATTTATTTATTTTTTTTTAGCCCTACCTAACATTTTTAAAGGCATCTCGTTTAAACGGAAATAATTAGATGGCAGTTTGGTCCATTAAAGTGCAAATAACGTTTATATTGCTTTAGCTAAAAAGTGCTGGAAATGTGCTATCATGTTTTATGTGTTCATTTACTCTATACAGTGTGAGTTTAGGATTAAATAATAATAATAATATAATAATAATAATAATAATAACAATAACAATAACAATAAAAGACAGCCAAAAATCCACCATCAGCTGTAAAGAAATCAAAATATTTGGTTGATATTGGTTGGGCTCTAATATTAATTCACATGTCATCATATATTGCCATACTAATAAATGTAGGAATATGTATAATGTGTTGTCCTGCTGCATGTCTTCATGTACTGATGTGAGTGAGTGAGGGGAGAGTTGGCCAGTTGTTGTGTGACAGGAATCTCACAGCTCTGTCACTGTGACGATGACAGGCCTCCCAGCATGTCTTTCTGTTGATTAAGACTAGGCTTCAGGACAGGCTCTTTCTCTTTGTCTCTATCTGTGTCTATCCCTCTTTCTCTCTTTCTTTCTCTCTCTCTCTCTCTCTCTCTCTCTCTCTCTCTCTCTCTCTCTCTCTGTCTTTCTGACCGTAATGACGTAACAGCTTTGTCCTTGAGGTGTTTGCGAGCCAATTCAAATGCAGCTTATCGGCCCCCTGCGTCACTCCGGCTCCACTTTGCATAAAACTCTCTCTTTCCCTCTTCCTGACCTCTCTCTGGCCTGCCTCTAGACCCACAGATGCTCCTAAAGACTAACCCAGGACCAGTTCACACTTGGATTTTATTACAACGTGTGAACTTTGACTTCCAGTCATCAACAGTTCCACTGTGTTGTCTGGATCCGATGCGGTTTCTCTGTTTGAGAAGCTCATCTGGTTGGCCTTGCACAATGTGCAGAAGGAAGAAGGTTGTAAACCATGTGGCAACTTTGATTGTCTAGACAAGATTGGAAAAGTTTAGTACTATGCAAAAGTTTTAGGCACTTAAAACCTTTTTTATGAAGCACTGATTAGTCAAGTCAATTATTGCATGATAACCATACATAATACTGGGTTGCCTCAAGGAGAGGTTTGGAAATGGTCAAATGTATTGATGTATGTAAAAGCTCTACTGATTATATTAATGCTTTTTGTAATTATTCTAATATTAGTGTTTTTTCTTCTAGTAATTTTGAGACAGGGCCTAACTTGTAAGTGAATGCAGGAGCAAACAAACTGACTAGAATTTAATCTGTGTCAAATGGAAGTACATAGTAGCTCAGTCTAATAAAACTTATAGTTTCTTGTCATCTTTAAATTGGCCACTGAAGTGTGCCATGCAGTGCCATGGGTCTCTGTAGCTGATTAGCTTAGCCTGATTGTGTGAGATCTGAGATGTGACAGTGTTTTTCCCAGATTAAAGTTGTTTTCTCTGATGTGTGAAACTGGAAGCTGTGCTCTGCTAAAATGTACAGTGTAGCATATTGGTGGCTTTTTATAGGCATGATTTCTGCTTGCAGCACTGAGTGCATTTAACTAGTGCAGCTCAACAGCTGCATTTCTACAACAATTGTATCTATTCTAGGTACAGTGTGTGTGCTATTGATAAAGGATATCACATCACCTGGCATATTTTAAAGTTCATTTATGTTCATGTGTGGGAATTTCAGTGTCTTCCTGAGGTTTACATGAAATAAAACCATAAATGAATGATGCTTTTTTGTAAACCTCTGGTAAATAAATTTTTACTGGGGCTGTTACCCTGCTAACTCAGTTAACACTCACTGAGAATTGGCCTAAACTGGTATTTATTCTTCTCCCATAAATGGAAAGGCTGATTTTGTTGCATTGGCAGTTCTGATATTGTGAGGAACAACTGGATTATGCTTAGAGCTGTGATCAGAAATTGGAGAACTGTATGTTAGTGTAACAACAAAGTTGATACTTACAGTAGGTTTACTTCATCAAGAGTGCTGACTGCGTTCAGCTCCAGGGTCAAAGAAGAGATTTCATATATCATTAGTGGTTAAAGTAGCTTCTTGATCCCATATCAGCATCTGGTGGACCAAATGCAGTCCTTACATTATCGTGATGGAAGACTAAAGACTACGATATCTACCACACGCTGTCCTGGGGCTGTTTGGTTATAAAGGGTTGATCAGTAGGTGGTCGGTGGTCAGTGCTAATGACTTGCAGATGATGGCTGTTGATTCAGCCCCAGTTATGTAACAAGGGCCACATTCATCAAACTTCTCAGAGGAGGATTGTTGACCTTGGTTTAGATTTCTCTTTTATTTACAGTGACCCTACTGACAGGAACAGACCCTAGATCAGTACTACTACTTTATGAATACCGGGCCTGGCCCTGGACTTTTTCAGTGATGATGAAAAATGGATAACTTGTGTGCAATGGCTGTTTTGAGTGGAAATTATATTAATGAAGGGTATCTGACTTTTGCCCAACACTATAAGTAACAGTTAATGGAAGCTTATACGCCACGAATTATAAAATATATGCCTAAATGGTCATTCTCTTGCCTCAAACCATGTTTAGTCACTTATGTAGTTTCTTACACTTTATGACAAATGTTTATCCATAAAAATGGACAAATGTGCAGATAAAATTCAGGATTTTAATGACTGCTGTTTTTACATATGTCATGTACTTTTGTCTGTTTTTAGCTACAGTAGCTTCTTAGATCCAGTGAAGCAACAAAAGAAGCAAACATGTCTTGGTTGTGTGACTGTATTAGGAGTGTGGAAATTACATAAATTAGATTTTTCATTGGACTATCATTTTAACCATCACGGAGCACAACTTATTTTACCATAATTACCATTTCGTCCTGGGTTCTCACTGCAGTATCCTTGCTTAAATAAATAAAAACAACGCTGCAGGGTCTGGGCTCAAGCCCAACTTGAAACAGAGTGTCCTTTTTCTTTTGTTGCCTTGAATGTATTAGTGTGCTGAGGTTTAGTGTGAAAGATTTTGGCCTGTGGCACTCGAGTGACGCCAGAACATGCTGATAGCAGAAAGGAAGAGAGATGTGACTGTGATTAGCACATTACACACACACACACACACACACACACACAGTCATCTCGTCTTCACCCTGTCCTTTAACATTTTCCACTCTGTCTGAACTTCCATTATGTTCTGAATGATTAGTTTAATGCAGTCCTTCTGATTACACATTTTCCTTCAGTTTCGTACATTTTATGTGGCGTGACATCACATGATTGCATCCATTGTTAACATTTTCAATCAATGTCTTGATTCAACTGAATCAGCTTAAGAATCATAGCTTATCTGCAGCTTTCCATAATAGTAGTAATTTATAGATCATGGAAAATTGCCAAGCTATGATTGTGACATTTCTGAAAGGCTGTCTCTTGCTGTTCTTTTTTCTAGCATGCTTCAGAATAATCAGCTGAAGACCGTTCCTAGTGCTGCCCTCAAGAACCTCCATGCTCTGCAGTCTCTGTGAGTAACGTAGTAACACCAGTGTTGTCATATTATGTAATTACATATTCAGATCGTGATTAGCTTTGCAGTGTATCAAAAAACACAATAAATAATGTGACAGTGCAGAATTGACTTGCATTATTTTGATCTTTTTTGGACATGTTGATTCATCAAAGCATGCACAGAAACAGCTGTGATTAATCAAGAAGGAAAAAACAGTAAAAAATGTTGGTTAGGGGTCTAATTCGCATATTGCAACCTTATGTGGTGTTAGTATTGAAAAATATAAATTCGTCTGTCTCATGTTTCATCAGTGTATGACCGCACCTCCATATCTGTGACCAGGAGAGTTAAAATATATTCTGTGTACTTTGATGTGAGAACAACCATCAGAAAGCAGAAATGAAAGTTCTGCTGTATTCCTATGTAAGCTAACCACCAAGGCAACGTTTAATTACTTCATTGCAGTAATATTACTAACATTTAACTTATTCAATGCAAAAGCTATCAAAACTAATAAAACACAAGTCTTGCTGGAAGATCCAACAGCATCCCATTCTTGGTGGAGGCAGAAAGATTTTGATTTAAAATATCCATTATGCCAGGTACCCGAACGAGGTTCCCAGGGCCGTTGGAGATAAAACAGACACAAAACCACAGACCCTCCACCATACTTAACAGTGGGCATCAAATTCTTTTCAGTGTAGTCATCGTCCTGAGTGTTTGTTGCCTAAAAGCTGAATTTTCGTTTCATCTGACCATAGAACACAGTTCCAGTCAAAGTCCTACTAGCGTTTAGGCTACAGGCACTTACATTTGTGGTTTGAAGACAAGAAAGGCTTTCTCCTGGCATGCCCTCCAGATAATCTGTTGGCATGGACATGGTGTCTGATGGTAGTTTTGGAGACTTGGTGCCCCCATCGTGCTACTTTATGCAGTGATCCTTGGGATTTTTGTTGTCTCTCTTACCATCCTCTGTGGGGGTAAAATGAACTTGAGTCCTCGTCCAGGTAAGTTTGTCACAGTTCCAGTTGATTAGAGATTTTTAACCATTGTCCTAACTGTAGATATGAGCATTTTTAGGCGAGTAGCTATTTTTTACAGCCACTCCCTGACTTATGAAGGTCAGCACACTTTAATTTGAACTGTGTTCTCTTGTCTTTCCCATATTAAAGAGTGACTAGGGTTTTGACCCCAGTGTCACCTCTTATCTATTCCCCAGTGAAACAGGAAGTGGTGGATTACTGCTTAAAAGGTTCTAGACACTCTGATCAACTTAAAAAAGTAAAATATGAACAAAGTATTTTAGTTCCATTTTGTTTCTAAGAATTCCTAGGGGTGCCAATAACTGTGGCACATGTGGTTTTGTTACAAGTAATTATTTGTGGATGAGAGATTATCTCATCCAGAATAATTTTACTTTAATGAAAGGTTGGATTTTTGTTATTTTTTAAGTGTACGTTTTAGCTAATTTACCAAAAGGTGAATTTCTTAAAGCCCTTTTTACTTCTCTTTACCAGAGTTGGCAAAAATTGAGGCAGGGACTCTAGCTTAACTTATTGCCTGATAGGAAACAGTGGACTGCACTGTTCTGTGTGCACACTCTCAGACAAATGTCCCCTATAACACAGACTCACGTGTGGAATCAAAAATAGTTTATATTTTTCTCAGTCGGCTGAGATAATATGAGCACAAACACTCATCTTGTGGAGGTTAGCAGCGATGTCACCTTATAGAGAACACTTACAAAAGAATAATTCTAAAAATAGTAATGTACACATCAGCAGACTGTTCTAGTTTACATTCATTCGTCTCCATAATCGTTTGTCTAAATTTGCATTATCATTCCAGCTTAATGGTGAATTTTGTTCATGTACTCAGGTGTGTGTGAGTGTGAGAGCTGGTCCAGCTGCGTGTTTGGAAAAAGCAGCTCAGAGGCGTTATCACCTAGCCAGACCCCACCACCCTCTTCTTTCTTTCCCCTGCGCACTTAGCTTTTTTTGCAGATGTGTTTCCCCGCAGGGCTGGGGCCGGAGCTCTGGACCTGAACTAATATGTTCTGGCACACTCGGCCCAGGCTTGGACCAGGACTCTAAGAGCTAGCTGTCAATCAACACGCCTTCTGCCCTTACGCAGAGACTAGTGCGGGTGGGAGAGGCAGAAGGAGAGGGGTATACAAACTGTTATTAGAGAGAAGGAGAGAGAAAAAAGGAAGGAAAGAGAGAGAGAGAGGGGCAGTCCCTCAGGAATGTCTCCCCCCCCTGCAGGCTGGCTTCTCTAATCACTCTGCTAAAAAAAAGTCACTGCCTAATTACAGCGACATCAGCACAGAGCAGTCAATAACATTAGAGCACACTGAAACTGATGGAATGATCACTGATGTTTTCTGGACATTAACAGATATGATAGACATTGCATATAAAAAAAAAGCAGAGACACATACACAGTAAACAAGTTTTATTGTTTTAAAACTTTTATTATGATTGAAAATGGGCATTTTTACATTCGGACTGTCCAAGATATGCAGACTATTGAGATGCGTTGATCTGATAACTACAATCAAACATCAACTGCATAGCTTTTTGGATGTTATAATTAATTATAATCAATGAATTATAAACACAGAGGCTTACTGTGTAAATTATTCCTCAAGTCACATTTATGTTTAGTGTATTTTTAAAAGAAATTCAGAATTATTATACCAGAATAATTTAATCAAATTTAATGATGGTGAAATTTGGCGTTGAATCGTTTTCTAACTGATCTTAACTAAATTGAACCACATCACTGTGAGAGCAGAGATTTACAACTCTAATGGAAACAAGTGTTAGTTATAGCTAACTATAGCTCTACTTAATCTGTCGTATTTTAGCACCCGCTCACCACACCTCTACCTGCCAATCCCTCTCTCGCTTCAGCAGAAAACAAGGGTTCAGCTGCTTCCGATGGTGTACCCTGAACCGAGAGAGGCTTTCTAGTGAAATATTTGCGGATTATTTGAAGACAGTTGATGTTTTTGGCAGGGATGGCTTCCTAAACCACAGTCCTAATTTCACAGCTGTCTGTCCGCTGAAATTGTCGTTCATGTCAACAAGTTTGAAATTATGATTTGCTGAAGGATTTGTTGACCTAAAAACCAGTATTGTGTCGAAAAGAGAATTATACATTGGGTCTGTTGCTATAATTTTACGTCTGTTACAGATTTAAAACAAATAAAGTGTTTACGGAGGTGTCAGCTGATGTGTTTATGGTAGAAGAGAATGTGAAATTATTTAGGTTAGGTCATTAAAGGGAAAGTGACATCTCTCTCTCTCTCTCTCTCCAGCCTTGTATCTGCACTCATTGGCCATTTTAACAGGGACTACCATATATGTATAACCTCCATCGAAAAGCATAGTCAGTAGATTGAGCTGCTCTGAGGCAGCCTGACATGAGTCTAAGGATCCATGCCCAGCACCAAGCTTTGGATAGAGTGGTGTAAATCCCCTCCAACTTTGGGATGTGTGGCAGTGGAATTGCATTCTCTGGAGCGATGGAGCCCCATCTAGTACCTTTGAGATGAGTTGGAATGGTGTTTGTGATCCAGAACTAATCATCCAGCATCAGCACCTGACCTCACTAATGCTCTTGTGGCTGAGTGCAATCAATTCCTCAAAGCGGTGTTCCAACATCTAGTGCAAGGTCTTCCCAAAAGAACCATATTGGAATCAGCAGATAAAGTCAAATGGTTTTGTAAGTGAGAATACGTTAAATTAGAACAATAAATGAAAAGCCTGGAGATGAGACAGGGTGTGTGGAGACGGTACAACTTAGAAAATATAATTTCAATGGATTATGGTACAATTATGTTCCCTGACTAAAGGTACTTAGTTGTACCCTTGAGGGCACCACCCCAGTGACAAGAGGGGTACTGCCCCAGTGATAGTTTTGTACCCTTATTTCTGAGAGTGTACAAATAAATGTTTGGATTTCTTTGTAATGTTAATCCAGAAAGATTTTGTCCTAGTTTCTAAATTTTATGTGTTTGATATATTTTATGTTAATGTATCAGAATCAGCAGATACACGATACAGATACACGATACATGAAAAATATCCAGTAACAGCACATCATTGTTTAATACAATGGATTTCAGAAGAAACATACCAAGTTTGGATACATATATAAATATATAGATAGTACTGTACTTATATGTTCATGTGTGTGTGCTCTAAAGTATGGCACTGGCAGTGCAGGGCATGTCTAGATCTGTATGTTGCTGCCTTTAGCTATAGCTGCCTGACTAACAGTTCAGCTGGAGCCACACGAGTCGACTCAGAAATCAGGACTTTTACTTTCCAATTGTTTATTCAGTGGTGAAAGGTAAAAATAGATGCTTTCCCAAACAGTACATAAGACTACAGGTTACTTATTGTTGTTCTGTTTATTCAGCAGCCTTGCGCTGCTCTTGTGGTATAAGCTCTGCTGTATTGGTGCATATACAGGCTGGTATGTATAGAGCAGGGAATTAAGTATGCTTTAGTGGGCTGGACGAGAAAGTGAACCAGAGTTCACATCCAAAGCGAGTGTCATTTAGATGATCATTCACCTTCAGTAAGAAATACCATGCAGTCCTGAAGTGAAAGCCACACCAAAGACACAGACACACACACTCAGACACGTGCATGTGCATAGTTTTCTTTGTGCGAGTGCAATGTTACTTTCAGATCTTCTTTTCCAGAATGCTGTGGGAGAAAGGCAGCCTGTGTTATTCTGCTAATCAAGGCAATGTTTAACTACTGCAGTTTGTACATTGTTCTGCATAGTGTTTGCTCAAGGTAGGAAATGGGTTTTGATTAGGGGAAAACTTGAAGGGTTCTGCACTCTACTTAATGATAACCTTCGGGGCCACTGAGTGCATGTAGGTGTGTGAGTGTGTGTTTATGCATGTGCACTCTATTTAACTCTCTCACTGAGGGAATTAAATGTCTCCAGTTTTGACTATGTGACACTTTCAGGGATCCTTTGAGAAGAATTTT